TAAAGTGGTTCTCTTTCAGTATTTTGCGAATATTTTCGAAAAGTATGAGAAAATCCTCGAAGAACAAATTAAGCCGTTTTTGAAAACAAGTACGTTTATAATAAAAATGCCTTTTTATTCATTTCATAGGTTCAGAGAAATTTGCAATTGCAAATTGATGATTGCGACATTTCTCAAGGAGAGTGCCTATTTAATGGCGCTTCTGTTTACAACTGCCTAATGACGATGCATGGTGGTGGTGATGGTGGTGTGTTGGTGGTGGTGGTGGTGTTAAATCATGATAGCAGTGATGAGGCCAAGCTATGGTGAGAACGGGCATTGACAGGTTGATGATAGGGCAGTGGGAGGGCTGTTGGAAGAAGGGTGGTTTGGACAATGTGTATCCAGCGCAGGAGTTTGCAGGCAGTCAGGGTAAGTCAGGGATAGGTCAGGGGCGTAGGTCAGGATGGGTCAGCGATAGGACACGGTCAGGACAGGGCTAGGACAGGTTAGGACAAGGGATAGGACAGGAGACAGGCTAGGACAGTAGGAACAGAGTAGGGACAGGGTAGGACAGGGTAGGAAGGGTCTAGAACAGGTAGGACAGTTAAGGGGACCCCCCAGGGTTTTTTGGGTTAGGGGGAAAAAAACAGGTAGGACGGGTAGGGATAAACTATAGATAGAACTCATTCCCTTTACTAACCTTAGGACGTTTGTGATTAAATGAAAAATACCGAGGTAATGTTGAGTTCGTCTTAAAGTTACGCCATTGGGTAGGGCAGCTCACCGCGAAAGTGGTCGATGACGGCGGCCTTGGCAGGCCGGTGGTGCCCGATGTAGATGTAGGCATGTGCGTCCGGTAGCGCGGCGGGTCGGCCACCTCGGGACGGGGCGGCGCCGTTCCCCGCAACGCGCGCCAAGGCAGCTCGGGCAGGTGACGCTCGCCCAGGTCCGAGGGTCGCGGGGGCTTCGGGCCCCCAGCGCAGCAGCAGCTGCCCGAGGGCAGCTGCCCTGCCACGTCCTTACCGCTGCGGCACACCAACACACACAAATCACTACGCCGCAAACACCACACAACACACAAACACCCACGCTGCGCACCCACGAACACTTCTCGTGGCTGGCTCGCCACTCCCTCAGCGGCTTCTACACGGCACACCACACACGCACACGCACACGCACACGCACACGCACACGGCATACGCATACGACTTACGCATACACTCGCCGGCTCCGATGACACCCTTCAGCGTTGCGCACATACAGCAAACAAACCCACGGCATCGCCCCATAAATGAAAAGGAAAAAAAAGAAAGAGAGAATAGAACGAAAGGAAAAGAAAGGAGATAGATAGCGAAGAGAAGAATGAAAGGAAAAGAGAGGAAGACAGAAGAGAGAGATATAGAGGAGAGAGATAGAGAAGATAGTGGAAGAGAGATAGAAGAGATAGGGAGAGAGATAGAGAAATAGGAGAGAGATAGGAGAGAGATAAGCAGATAGGGGAGAGATAGGGAGAGAGATAGAGAGAGATAGGAGAATCAGGATGAGAGGAATAGAGAGAGATACGGAAGAGACTAGAGAAGATAGGGAGAAGAGAGTAGAGATAGATACAGAGAGAGATAGAGATAGATTACAGATAGAGATAGAATAGATACAGAGAGAGAGATAGATATATACAGAGAGAGCATAGATAATAATAGATAGAGCGAGAGAATCAAGAGAGATGAGAACGAAAGAAAAAGAAAGAAGAGAGTTATGAATGAGAGACAGTGCGGATGTAGTGCGTCGTGCGTACACTCACCGCCCAGCAGCTCGGAAGCCGAAGACGACGCGCGCCGCGCCGAGAGACATTGCGCAGGCAGATGCAGCAGCGGGTGGTGGCAGCAGTGAGTTGGATGAAGCGGCACCACCACGCCCAGACTTGGCCAGCCCAGCCACAGGCACACGAACTACGGCCGGATTCTCCATCATGAGCGCCACCTTGTCGCCTTGCGTAGCCTCCTTCTGGAAAGCTGCGCCACCTTGTTGCTGTACCGGTCACCTGCGCAAGCAACAGCGGGCCACTCGATAGAAAACAGAACGTGACTATTCTTTCTTTCTATAGTAGTCGACCAGAAGACATATTATACAAGCAAAGAAAAATAATTTAATAACTCATTTTATGCTGAAAATTATCATTACTTATTTTTTTAGCCAATGCCCAAACAGCGAATAAATGGTGTGCAATATAAGGGCATTTTGGCGTGTCCTACAAAAATTTTCCGATGAAGACAAGACTGCAGGAAAACGATACGTTTCATATAACTTTTATGTACTATTCCTTCACTTTATGAAACGATCTCATAACAGTGAAACAATCTCGAGTTATCGCCGATGGCGAATTCAGTATATAGGGACTTCCAACACTCCACATCGTTCGACACATCCAGCGTTTCTCCAGGTCATTACTGAAGTAACATATAACGTTTCTAGAACCAGTAAAGATTTTTTTAAAATTCAAATAAACATTTCTGGATTACTTCCAATTAATTCTGCCTTGGCAAACATCAGTGCCTTTCTATAAACATATCTAAAAGTACATAACTTTTGGAAAGTGTCAGATTTTTTACTTCCAGCCTTTAATTCTTCTTCTCCCTCATATATCTTTAACCAAAATCCAACACCATCACAAGATAAACAATATTCTACAGAAGAAATAATATCCCGATTTCTTATAAAATGTAAGTTCCTGACCCACAATCATCGCTAATGTGTAATTTGGTATGTAAATCATAAAGTGTCAATTTTAAAACATTGAATTGAATGTGCAATGAGGACTTGATCTACCGAAGTAAAAATATTGAGTAGTGTTGCGCTGTTCAATTTTCACTTTTATGAACTGCGAACAAGCACGGTATTGGGAGAAAATTTTAATTTTTTCTTACATTTTAAGTTCGGAAAAACAATAAAGGGCAAAAATTTTTACGTGCCTCTACAAAAACACAAAAAGCGTTTGTTGGTAGGGCCACCGGAAAAAAGGTTTTGTTTAGGGAAACCCAGTCAAAAAGAATTTCTTGCCAAGTGTTCTCTCTTCTGTTTTCTCTTTTTTCAAAGGCCAGTCAAGCAGGAAACTCCTAGTTTTAGGCTCCGAAAACACATTCGACAAACCAGCGAAACGGAAAAACGCCCAGCATCCATTGACTTTCGCTTTACAAACCCAAACACTCGCCAAAACAAGTTGCAAAAGTAATTCTTCCTTGCTCCTCACACCACCATTCACATAGAATTCATATAACTTTCTTTTTACAGATCTACTCGGGG